ACATTTCCCCTGGCTTATTTCAGTGATTGTTCCACTGGTTCATGGGAATCAAACTACCAAACAGCGCTCTCCTGGCTGTTTGGGGAAAAGGAAGCAGACATTCATATACTTTGACCGATGTTCGGGAAGTTGAGTGTCCGATTTTAGTTCCAGATACGAGAAATCCCGCTGCCTCCTTTCATGCGAACAAGATATTTTCTAATGCACAGGAAAAGCACTTAATTGACTGTTCTCTTTGAAGATAATGAGCCAGGGGTAGTCGGTGTTCGTAGTTACAGCTTCGTAGTTACAGCTACTGAATGAATAAAAAATAAAAGTCCTGAATAACAGTAGTTTTATTACACACTACTCCCCATATACACACACTACCCCCATACACACACTACTCCCTGTTCACACACTACCCACATACACACACACACTGCACCCCTCAAACACTACCTCCCATACACACACTGCACCACTCACACACTACCTTCTAAACACACACACTGCACCCCTCACACACATTGCCTCCCATACACACACACTGCCCCAATGCACACACACTGTACCCCATACACAAACTGCACCCCTCACACACACTGCATCCCCCATACACACAATTGCACCCCTTACTCACACATTTCACCCATCACACACACACTTCAACCCTCACACACATTGCACCCCTCACACACTATACTGCCCCTATCCCCTACTACATGCCCTATCCCCTACTACAGTACCTATCCTTGCAGACCCCAGGTAAGTTGTCAAACTGTTCTTAAATGGTTTGGCTACTTACTCTGGGAGAGCACCATAACTACTACAGAGAGCTGTAGTGGTTATTGTGCCTGGATTATTTCTTTAAATAATCTACCAGTACCCCTTCCAAGATTAGGTTCTGGATCCACCCTTGGGTGGCCTGCCTTTTGTAGGCATCACTATGGCGCAGTTCACAACACTGACAAATTACCCTTAATACACTGCGCACCAGTCCTGGTTTGAAGAGGAGCAATGTTGGGAGGTATGAAATGATACTATAGTGAATAACAGATGAATGTGTTATTTTGTACATCAAATTTAAAAAAACAAAATGTTAAGACTATCTGCATACAACACATGACAGAACGGCTGTGAATGGTTTAAGAATTATAGGGACATCTATAGATTATTTAACCAAAATGCTATCACAGCAAATAAAAAATAATGCAGTAATTTAAATTTACTTACTTTTTCTTATTGATATGCAAATAAAAAAATGTCCGCTGTCAAAGTGAAGGTTATATTATGCTGCTTATTATATTTTAGAGAATGGTCCAGCTTGAAACCATTTATATCATGTTTAAAAAATGAATATTTTTATTGTTTACTGGCTTGAAATATTTAATCTATAAACATATATGTTGTGGAAGAGGAGAGCAGTGTATGAGTAAAGCCCTGTTTTATTCACAGTCTTAATATAGTAGATAATATTATCATAGAGAGTATGAAATTCATTATCCTTCACTTTTTAAATGGTTTTCTGCCCTATGGTAACGTGACACATTATGCCTTGTGGCAGTATAACACATTATAGGGCATCACATAAGTTTCTGGTGACCAAGGTCTATTAAAGATTAATGTTCCATAAAAGTTTAATGTTCTATGTAGTGCTATGAAAGAATACCAGGGATATCTTAAAAATTCTTGATCAGTATATTGCTTTTGAAACACTGTTATTTTGCTTTTGTGATAGAAAACATTTGAAAAGCAGATAGAATATACCTCACTGAATGTTCCTGCTAGTGGCAGCTATTCAGCAACTCATGCTGCACTCAATTTAAGACTCAGGACATTTCTTTTTAAATGATTTGCAATGGTCTGCATTATTAAATGACATTAAAGTGTCACTCCAATCTAGATATCATTATATTTTTATAATAAATGAGGTAGCGGTAGTATGTAGATAAATATACAATTAAATAATAAAGATTAATCTGGTTTATGTTTCAGATTGGAAATTATGGAGAATTTATAATAAAATATCAAATATTAAGCCCAAATAATCATGGCCTTGAAATTTTTATTTTTGGATAAGCTTTTCAAATCAAAATACTTAAATATTTCTCAAAATATTACATTCTTTTAAAAGTGTATCCAAAAATATTAAATTATTTGAAAAATGTTTCAAAAATATTAAATTGAGGCAAGTATTGAAAAACTCCTGCAAAATGTTCGTTATTCTTAAATTTGCAACTATTTTGTAATTTCTCTATTTCCCAGCCTAGTGAATAAATTCTAATGTGACTCAATGACACATGTTTCTGTCTCCTAGACTTTAAACAATGGGAGATATATAGCACATGGTTTAATATCATAAGCATGTTTTTTCCACAGAGATATCAATTGGGATTCATTCTCACATGCACAGTACAGCCATAAGGGATTTTAATTTACTTAAAAGGAATAGAACAAAGCCCTTGCAGCTCTACTAAAATTGATCCAGCAGCCTTAGTTCAATCACAAGGGAACAAAGTTCCAGGTATAATAGTAAGCATCCCCAACAAAATTAAAGCAGAGTAAAGGTAGGAATAAGTACTGGGTGTAAAAAAAAAAGAATAAAAAAAAAAAAGAAAACTGATGCGTATTCTTGATTGTTCATACATGATCAAGTTTGAAACTAAAGTTTATATCTTAAGTCCCTTTAAATTGATCAACATCTATGCCAACACTTAAGGCTTAGCTTCTTGACAAAGGCTTTGTGCCGAAACAGTGGGGCGTTATCTCTTTGTCATATCTTTTGCATCTTCCTCTTCTCAGAATTATATACATTTAATTGCTTTTATACATTGATTCAATTGTTTAATACATATTAGCACCTTTTTTTGCTATACATTTCTTTATTTTGTTGTATGGTTTTATTTGATTTTATTTATTTGAGTGCCCTCCTGTCTAATTCTCATTTTTGTACGATGCCCATACTTAGGTGTGAAATATATAACTTGCAAGTGCACCTTTTAGAATCACTGAAATGACTGGGGTTGGTGACAATCACAGGTACTAGTTGTACAAAGGGCCCTTTCATAGTTCTTGCCATCTGACATTTTATATTTTTTTTTATATTTATGCTAATACTTTATACTAATGTTTGTATTTGAAGTGTTTACTATTTTTAAACACCCATTTGAGGTTTGTTTGCTTTTGTGAATACCAATTATCCCTAAGTCAAATATGAATGCAGGGTTTTTACATTAGAATAGCTCGCAACCATATCCACAATCTTAATGTGTGTAAATTACAAAACAAATGTTGTACCATTGTATCATTTAACACTAAGATTATGCAAATATTTCAACTCATGCTAGATTTGTTTTTTCACTAAAATATTGTTAGTTAACATGCTATCGGAGGTACAAGGGTCCAGCATGTTTAATTTTGATTTCAGTCTGTACATCAACAAAAGCTGCAATTTCAAAAATTGTGTGGATACATTTAATATTTACAGTATGATTAAAAACTCAATTATTACTAAAGGAATCTCAAACTCTAGACTAGTGAATCCCCTCTTAAGGAGTAATCAATGCCTGTGATGTGATTAAGAAGAGACCTGGTGTTGGAAAAATGCATCTTCTGCAGTAATGGAAACCCAGAGAGAAATGTGATCTTATGCGTTTGACCTGCATTGATGTGTGTAACATGAGAAATAAATAGGTTAAATTTTTTCAGAATAGTGCCAGTTATTGCATTACTTCAATAATGCTTTGTAAGTGATATAAAAATATTCATGCGTTTAACTCTTCACATGTGATACTGGGTGTAAAAAATTTAAGATGGCAAATGGATATATAGTTAAAGGAGATAAACTAAAGCAATTGTACTTCCTCCTTAGACAATCCAATATGTGCAGCTTGACATATCTTAAAAGGTGAGAAACCTTGGTCAAGGTCAATTGAATTAGTAAATGATTTAAACATATTTTAAATCATTACCCCTTGTTTTTAAGATGTTTTTAGTATTATACATTATACATCGCTCAGTTTAAAATGTGAGATCTTTTGCAGAAAAACAGTCGGTCTAAATCAATAGTTAAATGCAAGAAAGATGTAATGAGAAAATAGTAATATATCTGATAATATAATATAGAGCTTGACAATTCCCAGGTTACCATGGCCACTAGGAATGTTGTCCTGGCACCTGTTTGTCAGTGAGTGTGTGTCTGTGTCTGTCTGTCTACTGGTACTTTATTTAAAAAAAAAAAAAAGGTATGTTCATGGCCACACAAAGCCAAGTGAATAAAACTGATACATTGCACAAAATATATGGTGTGTCACATCAGAATATATTCATTATCTGCATACATAAAATGCCCATGACTTTGGATTCTAGTCTTCATTATGTGTACATTTTAGATCTGTTATTTTTGTAGTTACAAATAAAGCTTTGTTAGTTTAAAAAAAAACTGGTTCCTAACTGTTTTAGCTGGCTCCTAGATTCAAAGCAAATTTGTCAAGCCCTGATATAATACTTGGAGCTAATTCTTCCCCAGCCAGCCATTTGGCAGAAAAATGTGGTCTAGGATCACATGTCCAGCTAGTCATCTGCTCCAATCTACCACACAAGTGCAATTGAAGACTGTGAGTAACCTGCCCACTATATGTTCTCAAATTTCTGCAGGGCAACTCCACTAAAATTAAGTAGGAACTTTAACCTTATTTCTGCCTGAACTTTTTATTTTGTTTTATACATTTCTCATCTGGCTTCAGTGTTTCTTTAAGGCACTTTTACTAAGTAGGCCCTCTCCTCTATCTCATCAGACTAGTCTATCTCAGCAATCATCCTCCCAAATTAAATACTTAAATTCCGATTTTTAAATATGGAGAACACTTCTCAATTTCCACCACCACCAATGACCACGCAACCGTCTACCATAGCTACTGAAATTCTTTACAGTCTATAGTCTCAATATGATGTTAAATTAATGGAAATCAAATCCTTCATTGTTGAAGCTATGATGCATTACATCAAATTCATCTCAGCTTGACAGTATAGAGCAACATCAAAGCAATCACAAACACCATCACACTTCTCTTCAAACCACAGTCACTTCCCAGGTTCAACAACTACAACAGTTGACTGACAAAGTTGATGACCTGGAAAATAGTAAAGCCAGAAACTGTAAAGATAACTGCATTAATCCAAACATTAATGTGTACAGCCTGCTGCACTTCATCTTCTATTTGACATTGATAAGAAACTTCACATTGAATGAGCACATCAGCATGGAACAAGACAAAAATAGCACAAAACCTAAACCGGTGATTAGCTGAGGACTTAACTTACTTAATAATGAAGCTATCCTCAAAGCTTACAGAATAACCTCTGCTCTGATTTACCAAGACTCCAAAATTCTGATTCTCCACAACAATTACCAATAAATGTAAGAAATTCATACCCACCTACAAAAAACATCAGGCTCACTGTACTCTTTCCCACACATCTCCAGCTAATTGATCAGAATCACACATACTTACTGGATTCTCCACAGGCTTTTGAAAACAAACTTCGGGAACTAGATCCCAACAGACTCAATGGCACTGCTAGAGTTGACACCTAATAATGGAAATTGAGTATGATGATATGCATGTTTGTTCTCTCTGTTTTCTTTTTTTTTTCATGTCTTGGTGGGTGCCAACAAGTATTATGACACTTGGCAAGGACTCCATGGGGTAGATCTGTCACGTATTCAAAATGATGTAGTTAATTACTGTTATCTTTTTAAAATGTATTGTTTTATTGGTGTAGTTACTCACTCCTGGTGTCCTTCCTCCAACTAGGTTTTTTAGCAATTCCCCACTGCAGGCTGGGATAGGGAGGGGCCCCTTGATATGTCCAGTAACCTTTATTTCAAAGAATTAAAATATTATTTCCTTAGATATACACCTTGTAGAAGTTATCTTACCACTCTTACACAATAAATGTCCCAAGTGCATTCAATTTTGTTTCTTGGAAAATTCACTAATTAAAAAGGAAAATTATTTTAAATACTTTACACACCTTAGATCCTCATATAGTTTACTTCATTTAACGCACTAGAAACTAATTCCCATGTTATAAAAGATGAATCAGCCATTGTATTATTAAATCCTATAAATGCAACTCATGTAAGGTGGCTAAACTTCTCATCTCTTCCCTTAATGTTAATATTGTATACAAATTAATTAACCCAGAAGGGAGATACATACATTTAAATGCCAGTTGAGAAAAGCCCTGTGTGGCAAAACGCGTTTTGGCTATTTTAACTATTTTTATATGTACTATTAAAGGAATATTGGCTATTATTTTATCTGTGCCATATACCTTTTATTTTAGTTTACTTTTTAGAGCATTTATTTTATTTTTGTATTTATTTAAACCTGGTCATTCATCATATCAGATAACCCACTCACTCAAGAATCCCAGGTGGGGATTATACCACCCACGCTATTATAGTGAGCAGTAGATCCTGCTCACTTAAATGTGAGTATTCTACATTTCTATACTGACCTGCCTTAACATATAAACAGTGAGCACTATATCTGGTTCTATTTCTCTCCCCATACTGAGGACCTCCTCTATTTGTCAACACCTATATCCTACCAGTGGGGGATCGACGCCACTGAATGCCAGTCATACCTGAGCTAGTTCTAGCTCTCAGATAGGTGAGTTTAAATACCTTCCTGCTGTGAAGTTTTACTTTCCATGTGACTCTCAGCTGCAGTCTGCACTATTGGAACTCTCCCTTTATTTTCACATATTTCCATCTGGATCAAGAGAACCCGACCACTTCCAGCTCTACAACCTGCATTGACTTACACTACACTCAAGTTCCTGCAAGTGGACTTGGCTTTCTATATGACCATTTTTGATTGGGACTAATATTTATCTTACCCTATTTTGATATATGTAAGTACCATATTGTATTTCACCCACTCTATAGCCTATTGCGGTGTGATTATGCTCATCATTTTGTTTCTGTTATCTATCCTTGGTTTTGTTATATCTTTTTATTGTCTTTTTGTAGCGCGACCTATAATTTTTAGTTTCTTGAATAACAGAGAATGGTCAGAGAATACACGTTTTCTGTGTATTTCCTCTACTTTGTTATCAGACGTCAGATCAAGTGATATTCATAATATAACTATCTCTGACCATGCCCCCATAAATATGTTTTTGTTGTTGGAACCCCAACCCCCCCCTTGACCCGGTCCAGACATTGGCAATTCCCTACATAATTGCTTACCAATGACTCCAATGAGGGTGATGCTGAAGGCAGCATTGGCTAATTATGTATATAAAAACCTGAAACATTTAAATGACTACCATGCTGTTCTGGCAAAACTCATAGGTAGTTATGGGAGGCCACATCATATCTTTTATATCACAATTTTAATAAATATGGCAAACTACATATGATTCGCTTAACTCTGATCTCTTCAAAGCATATGACATGTATTGAATTCCCATCAGAAAAGTCCAAACATCTATGTATTCTGACCAAAGGTCTCTTTGACTCCCTCTTATAAGAGAAAGCTAAATGCAACTAGATGACTCACAGAATATATATTCTATAGATGGGGCAACAAATCAGGAAAAGTTCTAAAGCAGTTAGTCAAGGGTCAACCCAAATATAGCTCTATTCATATGATTATTGACCCCATTAGAAGGATGTGACCAGAAATGCATTAACTCCATTTTCTCAGACTGTTTATATTTGCTCTATTTAGCAGAGTCTGATGGTGATGTTTGAGGAATGGTTTTACTGCTTAGAGTGGAACTGAAAATATTGACTAATGACCAAAAGGAGAGCTTACATTTCCCTGATGAAATCAAGTCAGTCATATCTAGCATGACCTCAGTAAAAGCACATGGCCCTGATGGCTTGAACGCCAAATATTTTAAAGCTTTAAAGAGGAATCAGTTAAATCCTCTTACTACCTTGTTCAACTAAATCTATCTCCTAGAACCATTCTGATCTTTAAACTAGACAAGACCAATAACCAATCATTTTTTTTGATTCATGATCTTAAATTCCTTATAAAGTTTATTGCAAACTGACTACAACTGATTTTACTATCTTTACTTCACCCTCAACAATTAGACTTTATTACAACCAGAGAAACAATACAAGAGATCTAGGTGACCATAGCGATCATAACCTCTGCCCAGAAGTTTTCAGGCCCCTCCTTCTCAGTTTAGATGCACAAAAAGCATTTGATTTAGTTTCCTGGCTCATCCTTTCTGGGTCCTGAAATACCATTTCTTGGACTACTTTTCTTCAATTTAATTTAAAACCTATATAATTTTCCATGTACAGAAATCTCCACAAATGGTCCCTTATCCTCTCTTCTTTTTAACCTATCATTGGATCCCCTAATTAGACTCCTAAACTCTCTACCTTCCATTTTCAGTATTCCCATTGACAACCAAACACTTAAAGTGACAGCATCTGAGGATGATATCCTACTATACATTGCTAAGCCTGGCACAACAATCCCCTCTCTTCTAAATACACTTTAATAATGTATGGTTGAATAGTGGAGATTGACACTAACCTCTCTAAATCATCTGTTCTGCCTTTAGGTACATATAAACCAACCAATATGTTGCCACATTGCAATGGTATATAGAATATATAAAATACTTGGAAAGGCAGCGGGACATTAGAGAGGTCAATGCGTGGCTTAAGTCTTGGTGCAGGAAGGAGGGTTTTGGGTTTTTAGAGCACTGGGCCGACTTTGCAATTGGGTACAACCTTTATAGTAGTGATGGATTGCACCTAAACGGGAGAGGGTCTGCAGTGCTGGGGGATAGGATGGCTAGAAGGTTGGAGGAGATTTTAAACTAGTAGTAGGGGGGAGGGTCATAGCAATCTACAAAATGGAGATTGGACAGAAAGGAGATGGGCTTTAGCACAGTATAAGGCGGGTGGAGACGGGGGGAGGGGCAAGCTCAGAACAGAGAAGCTATGTAATGTTGATATTTCACAAAAAATACAAGTGACTCATGATATTAAATGTATGCTTACTAATGCAAGGAGCCTAAATAACAAAATGGGGGAACTAGAGGCATTAGCATACAATAAACAATATGATATAATAGGCATAACTGAAACATGGTGGGATGAGACACATGACTGGGCAGTTAACTTAAATGGGTACATGTTATTTAGGAAGGATAGGAAAAACAAGAAGATGGGGGGGTATGTTTGTATGTCAACCATGATTTAAAGCCAAATCTTAAGCAAGTGGAATGCGATGAGGAAAATGTGGAAGCTTTATGGGTACATATCTGCTTGGGGGGAAAAGAAGGGAAACAAACTATTGGTCGGGGTATGTTATAAACCACCAAATTTTAATACTGACGAGGAACAATAGCTGTTTGAGCAAATTGAGAAAGCTGCAAATCTGGGTAACACTTTAATTATTGGAGATTTTAATTACCCGGACATAAATTGGGACAGAGGGACTAGTAGCTCAACAAAGGGAATTAGGTTTTTAAACTTGTTAAATGACACCTTCATGTCACAACTTGTACAAGCACCAACTAGAATGGACGCTTGTCTGGACCTGGTTTTAACAAACAACTTTGATCTTTTGACCAAGTAGGTGAGTACTTGGGAAATAGTGATCACAATATAGTGTCCTTTGAAATAAACTCAAAAAAACAAAAACACATGGGGTATACCACAACATATAATTTTAAAAAGGCCAATTTCAATAAGTTAAGGCCAGCTTTACAATATATTGACTGGCATAAACTCTTTAGTGAAAAGAACACCGTGGATAAATGGTTCATCTTCCAACAAATATTAGAAAGGTACATTTCTCAGTATGTACCATTGGGAAATAAATATAAAAGAAACAAATTAAAACAAATCAGATGCATCTTATAAAAGATATAAGGAAGCAAATACTGCGTGCAAAAAGGCAATTAGACTTGCTAAACTTCAAAATGAAAAAATTAAAGCTGAAGAGAGCAAAACCAACCCCAGCATTTTTTAAGTACATAAATAATAAAAAAAGAAAAAAAAAAAAAAGTGTAGGTACACTAAAAACTGAAACGGGGGTGTTAGTTAATGAAGACCAGGAAAAGGCAGGAATTTGAAATAACTATTTCTCCTCCGTATATATTAAGGAAGAACCACTGGCAATAGATGTGCAAATGATTGCTACTAAAAACTTGCAGAATAATTGTAATTGGTTAACTCAAGACAAAGTGCTGCAGCAACTAAAGAAAGTTAATATAAACAAAGCTCCAGGGCCTGACGGTATCCATC